CGGAATCGGCACGTAATACGTAACGTGGTAAGCCCCACTTTAGTCGTTTGAAGAAAAAAAGAAACGCTGTGGCAGGCACCCTAACTCAATTGGGAGCAGGCGTTTGGCAAGGTGGGAAGGCACCGCCAAGGACAGGTATGGGCAGGTTGTACTGCATAGGGGAAAATCCGGTAATACAGCATGTGGGGCGGTCTTCAGCAATAGTGCTTTCGAGCCGCCAATCCATCTGAACCAATCTGGATTTCGCACCGAAAGAGCGCGAAAGCACCAGACGTAATTTAAGAAGGAAGTTTTGTAGACGTCCCTGCAAGAACACATATAACGTATGACTGACGTAATTTATTTATTTATTTATTTATTTATTTATTTATTTATTTATTTATTTATCTCTTTCTCATAGTGCATTTCTTTCCTCCAAGCTGCTTCGTTCCTCCATACAGGTGATCGACCTTCGTCCGCAAGCTAAACAGCTATAGCGCAACACGATCAGTTGGTATACAGACAACAATGATGGTAGTGCATTAATATCCGGACAACTGTGATATGTGTCAAACCGAAATGACAAGCGACGTCTATAAAAAATCAGACTGCCACATCAAAAACCTCTGATCACCGCCAAGGCCACCATCGAGAGAGAAATTATTCGAAAACGGACGCCGGCCACCAAAATCTGTCACTTATAAAACATTCGCTTAAAAAACATGATTACGCGACTCCAACATTACGTGCGCGGCCAGACAAGGCACCCATCCATTTTCCGAACGTCTCATCATCCCTTTAAAGCAGTGGTGCTGCGGGCTGGCTTTCAATGCGCACCTGCCGGTGTGACTCAAGGCACACTGCAGGAGTGCAAAACGAAGAGAGGCCGTGTGCTACGAATATCAATGCCACAGAAACAGGGTCGATGTTCGCTGAAGGCCTTCGCATTTGGCCGTATAGTACAGCCCTCTGTTTGGCGCCAGTGGGAAAGTAACTGTACCAGCTGCCACACTGGCCACCGGGGGACATCCACAAGAGCTGTGACAACTGAACTATTTTATTTTAGATGTGAGGCTAAGGTGAGCATATCACTGAGGTAGTAATGGAGAATATCAGAGCACCTTCTTTGTGGAAGAAATTAATGTAGAGAACAACAAGCATCAAACTTGGCCTAACGTGGCCGAAGCCATATGTGTATGTACAAGGCGTTCCACATAACTTGAGCCAAGAATTTGAAAACAAAAAACACTTCAGGGGCAAATTGAACCAAACGCGTACTACTCGCACTAGCCTGTAGGTACTCGGGCTATTTTTTATTTCTCCCCATACTATATAATTCATAAATCTTAATTAACTATTTTTAATTATGGGCTGGCAACCCAAAACATGAACACTGAGATGTAGAGCACTTTCAGAAACCACCGACGAAATTGTTTCTTGCACGATACGTCCAGCGCTGTTACTTTTCCAGCGTTGTAAAGACAGCCTATATAAGCACTATAGCAGTGCACTCGCGGTCCGCCACACGGCTTCTTTTCTCGTTTCGCGGGCTTTCTTTGCAACGTGGAAAAAATAACAGCGTAAGACGTATCGTACAGAAAACAATTTAGTCGGTGGTTTCTGAAAGTGCTCTACATCTCAGTGTGCATATTTCGGGTTTCCAGCCCATAATTAAAATTAGTTAATTGAGAATTAATAATTATTTAGCATGGGGATAAATAAAAATAGCCTGAGTACCTACATGCTATTGCGAGTAGTATGCGTTTGGTTCAATTCGCCTCCTAAGTGCCTTTCACTTTCAAATTCTTGGCTCAAGTTATGTGGGACGCGCTGTATTTTAATGTTATAGAGTTTGTCAAAATAAAAACTCTCATTAAGAGTAATTTCCTTCTAAAAGAGAAAACACAACGAAAGAACATGCAAAGAAAATGAAGGTTCAGTTTAGAATATCTACCTGGTTTCATTCCAAAACTATGATGCCTTTCCGGGGCAGCATATGTCACGCTAAGGCTGTGATCCAACACTGTGCTAGAGATGAGCATCCTTTAACAATTATTCGCTGGAGCCAATGTCTCGACAAGTGGTCTTGCCTTCTTCAACGTAGTTTCTGCGTTGGAGAAGACAGACCGCATGTCTAAACGACAGATTCGACGAACCCCCCCGTGTTCGAGAATATCCATCTCTTCATGCCTCGATACTTTCTGAACTTGTGTCTTGTTTCGATTAACACTGTGTTAGACTGCGTGTCAAGTTGACGACGCTCCCTGTTCTGCACCACTCCAGAGAGAGGTGTGCAACCAAATTTCCGCTTTTTAGACTGGAAACTATACGTTCTTCTTTCATTCAATTATCCAATTAACCTTCGCAACAGAACTAGTGGAGCTTCGCTAGAGCTATCGTCGCGGGAGCCCCGCGCACCTGCGGTGCGAAGAATAATCTCTCGGGTCGGCGCGGTGCGATCGCGAGGCGACACCGCGCAGCTGTCCTTTGTCTCGCCGTCTTCGTCAGCGGCCCAGTGAACGTGCACCCACAGCCAAACTGGAACCTGCAAGGCGCGTACGGCTACGTAGGGTCCTCCCCTTTTGTCTTCGGGCGACCCGGCCAAGCGTGTCCCCGTGCACCGACGACGCAGGGGCGAGTCGCGTTCGGCGCAGGGCGAGATGGCTCGCCGGAAGCGACGCCCGGTCACCCTCTCCGCGCCTTCCCACGGCGGCGGCCGATCGAGCAGCAAGCGCTTCCGGTCCTCTCACGCAACGTGATCTTGCCCCCACGGCTACGGACGGCGACCACACGAATGAGGCACACAGATTCGACCCCGTCTAGCTCTTTCTTTTTGCTCCGCTCTCTTGCTTGTTTTCCCACGGGAAGAGGCCTGGTGCTTGGCTTCACCGCAACAGCTGCTGACCGAAGCCACGTCTTCCTGGGGACCTGCTGCCGCCGCCGCTCACCCCTCGTCCAGAGATAAGCGCCCAGCGTGTGTACACCCTGGAGTTGACCCGTCACCCGCTGTGTACAGGCCACAGACAAAGAAGGGTGTAAAAAGAATGTACTGGCTCACTGCTACCCGCTTTTGTGGTTATCATCACGCAGGGGTCAAGCTCTTTTAACTCTGTTTACTTCGGGGACTGTCACACGCGAGTCACCTGTCCGGTGGATCAATGCACCTGTTTTCAGGGACGAACATCACCATCAGTTTCTAGTTTATTTGTGCATCCTGCTATGCACGAGGGTTTGGTGCATGCTGACGTTAAGATATATTGTCAATACGTTTTGTACCCCTCGAAGGTTGTCTGCCTTCAGTATTGGTGACATCGTTGCTTTTATTTCGTTCCACTCGATTTCTTGATACCATAAAGCTTTCTTGAATTCTAATACATTGTATTTCATATCGTTTACCTCGTTCTCTCTGTTTAGATATGCACAACTAATATAAAAGAACTGATGAATAATCGAACTCTGACGAGTCTTCAGCGTAGACACGTTACTGCATCCCAATGCATAAAGCTTCTGGAGAACATTTCCCACCAGTGATGTATGGCACCGAACGTAAATATTTAAACAGGAATGAACCAAGCAATATCCATGAAAACGTTTGCACACGGTATGCTGCAGACGGGTTATTCGATTCACTCGTCACGTATCTCAATATGTGTTTACCAGTGGGTCCAGGAATTAAAAAAAAAAAAAGCCACGGGGCGAGCTTACCGCAACTCCACAGTAGACGAGCGTCTCTGCGCGATAGTCGATGAAGTACGTTGTGTGTATTGTCGCAGTGGTTGGAATAATGAAATGAGAGAGGAGACACTTGCGGGATCTAACCTTAGCTGCTCTGTCGTTGACTGATACAACTCGCACTGCCTCTTCACGTATACACTAACAAGGTGGAGCTCCCTTCAGCGTCAGAACACAATCTCGTGTTCATGGACGGCAGCCTGTCTATTTCTGTACATAAATTAACACGCAGCTCGGCCTTCGGCCACTAAACCAACGTTCAGTCTTCGTAGCTTGTTTAACCACGAGCAGACAAATTAAGGCGAATCCCAAGGCCAGGGAGCAGTCGCGGACTTCCAGTCACTGATGCATGTCTTCACACGAACGAACATGTTCACAACGGCGTTGTGCCTGTCTGCATAACTGAAGCTGGTAAGGCAAACTCGCGCTGGTTAAATACGTCGTTGTTAAACTTAATTTGTTAATGTAACAAAGGCTTTTTTTAATTAGTTAGAGTTAGTTTCTGCTTTTGCATCGTGGTATTAAGATCTCCCGTTCTGAAATTACTCGTAGAAGTGTCATCATGCAACTCTTTTGTCTCAGAAGGCTTAGCAACCGTAGTGTTCATTTATCTTCACGTAATGTACCATAAATGACCATGAAAATGTACCATAAATGTACCATAAAAATAAATAAATGTACCATAAAAATAACCAAGAAACATGGTCGGACACTTATTCATAATCTTCCAGGTGATTAGTGCATATAATGAGAGTAGAAATAGAAAGATGAGCGTGTGAACATTTAATGACAGTGACATTTTATGACATTTCTCTGCAAGCAAACTGTCCATTGATATGTTATTTCAACTAGCTTCAGTGTGCTAATATGTGTGCCTTTTTCTTCTTTTTTTCCTGATTGTTAATTTTTGGGTATCATTCAGTATTATTCTTTTTATGTTCTTTTCGCTGCAGAACTCAACCTCTCCACAGGAAAACAGTCAGAACAGAACAGCGCGATGCTTACCAAAACCACTTCGTAGCCGGTGACGCTTTTCGATAGTGACAACCATCATGTTTCCCTGGAAATGTCTCACCTTCGACGCGAAAGTCGATTCACGGTTCGTAGAAGCTGCCCGTATCGTTTTTCGTGGATTAGCAGACGAGCGACGACGCGAGGCGGCACTTGGCTCGTATCCTAAACTACATCACCAAGCACCTATACTACGGTGCAACTCGTGTTCTTAGCGGAACGTCGGGAGTTGGCGCGGCGAAATAAATCGAGTTCGAATAACTTAAGAGATTTCTCACCTGGCGCTCTCAGTGGCGTAGTCCCCAGACAAGGCTGCCTTTAGAATCCTTCAAAGGAGAAGGCGAATCACAGATCGATGAGTTTCACACTTCCGGAAGTTCGGCACGCAACGACGAGACGACGGATGTTCTGTCCACCGCGTGCGCGGTTGTCCAGGACAAGAAGGTCCCGGTGGTCGTCCACGCACGGACAGCACAGAGACGATGGCAGCAAGCACGATCACGCACACGGTGTGTATCCGTCAAGAGAAGAAGAGCATGAGAAGCTCGCCGACACGGCGAACGGGGCCCCGGCCAGCAGCTCCTACGCGTCCACGTTGCCCGCACGACAGGTAGAGTTCGACTAGCCAGGC